TGACACGTTCAGCCACAGACTACCTACAGGCTTATTCTGATGCAGATTGGGCTGGCTGTCCCGACACTCGACGTTCCACATCGGGTTACTGTGTCTTCCTGGGTGATAATCTCGTTTCCTGGTCATCCAAACGCCAGGCCACCACCTCTCGTTCCAGTGCCGAAGCTGAATATCGGGCAGTTGCCAATGCTGTAGCAGAGACCTGCTGGATCCGGAACCTTCTTCTTGAGCTACAACAACCACTTCGTCGCGCCACAATCGTCTTCTGTGACAATGTCAGTGCTGTGTACCTATCATCAAATCCGGTGCAACATCAGCGCACCAAGCACGTCGAGGTCGATATACACTTTGTACGCGATAAAGTGGCACTTGGTCAGATCAAAGTTCTCCATGTTCCTTCATCTTCTCAGTTTGCCGACATCTTCACGAAAGGACTGCCCTCCCTCTTATTTCTTGACTTCAGAGAGAGCCTGGGTATCCGACCCCCAGCGCATCCGACGTAGCCGGGAGCATGTTAAATATATAAAATATATTTAATATTATTGTATTATGATTTGTTTCCATAGTTGTATAGTTTCCTAGAATATCTCTCCTAACATAACTAGGATTGAGACCTTGTATATATATACATGTATTCCTCTCATAATTAATCAATGAAAATACCACTTCTTCACTATTGATCTAAAACCATTTGGTGGTCTCCATATTTCATATAAAAACAGGTTTGTGTTTCCTCAATCCTTTGATATCCGATATCGTCGGTACTCATTTAAACCCGCTCTTTCGTCCTTTTGAGGGTAAATGCTAGAATTTAAGAACCCGTCGTCGGCCTACATCCAGCTTGAGTTTTTGGTTGGTTGGTTCTTTGACAATATAAATGGTCATCCGGCCATCATTGATTTTTCACTACGTTTTTTGTGTCATATCGGGAAAATATATTATGTCTCCTCAATAGGAATATTATTATTTACTTTTCTTATTCTATTGTTACCATGATTGTTATTCTACTATGATTAAGATTCTCTTTGTATTTCCTATATATATATATATATATATAAATAGAACCTTTATTTTTTAATAAGACCAATTATTATCAAATTGTATCACTTCTGACAAATATACTTTGTTGTCGTTGTGAACAAAATTTGTGCGCATTTAGGTCGGTTGCGAGACTAGCAATGGGAGACCTAGAAGAAGCACTTCAAGATGCTAACAAGGCTCTTAGCATTGCTCCAACTTATTCAGATTTAAGTTGTATTTAGCGTGTTTGGGGTTGGCGATAGATTATTTGTAACGTGTTTCTCGGGTTAAGGCCCTGTTCCGTTCAACTTATTTTTTCTGCTTTTTTTTTATTCTTATTAAAATCAGATTAGATCTGATCTCAGAGCAGAAACAAGTTAAATAGAAAACAGAGAAAGTAATCTTTAATTATTACTTATTAGACGTCGGAAAAATTATTTTTAAAATACATTAACAATGTCAATCTAATTATACTTTTAAAATACATTTTTGTTGCTACCTATAATTTGAGTTTCTAAAGTTTTGATCTTTTACTACATCGAGTTGATCAGCTTTGATCATGACTTAAATAAAATTAACATTTGATATTTATATACAAAGTTTATTTTAGTTTAAATAATCATAAAATAAAAAATGTTGATTATATTATAATATGAATTATCATTACAATTTTCAAAAGTTATTATAGAGTCAGATCAAATTATTGATTTGAATTTTAAATCAAATCATAATTAATCAGATTCAATCAGATCAGATCCAATCAGATTAGATCCACTACAAAAAATCAGATCAGATAGGTAGCAATCCCGTGTGTGTATTTTGGTGCCAAATTTGGAGTCGAAAGTGGGGGTACCCGACAACCGTGCATAACTCATGTACAAGTAGTAGGTCACTTTTTATTTTTTTTCGTAATGCAAATTTGGCTTTGCAGGGATATATATGCCAAGGGGATGCTTTCATGGCTATGGGGCAGATTGATGCTGCTGAGAATTCATATGCAATGGCTTTGCATATAGACCCCTCCATCCGTCGTACAAAACCATGTATGGTTCCGCCTTCTGTTTTCTACTTCTTAGGGATCGTTTGGTAACAATTTTAGCGTTTAGCTTTGCCATTCTAACATTTTCAAAAATCATCTGTATTATTAAGAATTTGTCTAAGAATTTGTCTAAAATGCTAACGCTGATTCAAAACATTGTTCCCAAACAAGACCTTAGTTTTCTTTATGATTGATTAATTTGTTTCTTTATCATTGCATATTCAATCCACTGGCATCCTTTTCTTTTTCCAGGTTCGGATTGCTGAGGTCAAGGAGAAAATTTGAGTCCCCAAATTTGACATATTCTCATACTCTATTTGGTTTGAATAAGGTAAAAAAATATGTATAGAAGAGTTTTTAGTGGCATGTGGTTCATCATCTCCAAATTTATGTGTAAAATCATCCGACTTTAATACTCTCTATGTTCTAATGTGTTTGTTCAATTTAACTTTTTCGAGCCAAACAGTGTGAACTTTGAGCTTCAATTAAACAAAAACTGTAATGTCTATTAGTATAAAAATATTATTAATTATATTTATCTAGTTGATAATTTTCACAATTTTCTTTCATTTTACTAATATGCTATATAAATTGAGAATAATTGAAGCTCAAAATTTATCTAGTTTGACTTAAAAAAATCAAATTGGACAAATATACTGGGATGAGGGTAGTATAAATCAATATACTAGAAGATTATATATATATATATATATATATATATATATATATATATATATATATATATATATATATATATATATATATATATATATATATATATATATATATATATATATATATAAAATCCAACTTATTAAATAAAAAGAGGGATACAATAGGGGGACTAGGCCTTACCCATGCGAGATGAAAACTGATGGCTATAAACCACCGAGAGGGCGAGCTGGAGTCACTCCCTTGATCGGAGTCTCGGGCGAAGCCCTGGCCGTCGTGCTCGGATGCAGACCGACGCGCGATCGAAGATTGTGAAGACATTGGAGAACGGAGTGAGGAAAACTAATCTAAAGGGTTGGAGGACCCGGAAAGCAAGTGGCGACGGAGCGGCGACGGAGATGTGGAAGCAAGCGTGACGGCAAAAGGAGCGGCTACTTTCACTCTCTAAAAGTAAGAAGTGAAGAGCGCAGGGCCAATATTTATAATAGGGGTGGATCGAACGGGTGTAATGATGGGCCGTCACTTTGCCTAGGAAGATGAAACGTCGCAACCTTTCGCTAGGGAAGCCCAAACGTCGCCATCTGTCTGCCGATCAACGCGTGTGGACCCATGCGCGGGCTATGCACAATATCTCTACTCTCGTGCGTTCCGTTGCCGATTTCCAAGGAACCCGGAGAGTGGGGGGCTTATGACGGAGGATAACCCCACATCGGCCTAGGGCTGATGTCATCTGGCCCCTCGCCCACCTGGGAGAGCACTGTGCTCGGCCAGGTCTGCACGCGCTCGGCTTAAGAGCTCGGCTCGGCCCTCCCAGGCTCGGCTCCGACTGCATGACAGCGACGAGAAGATAGCGACCGGCGATAGGGACCTGGCGATAACGATAGGATGAAAGGGACAAGACGAAGGGACAGGTGACGTCCGCTAAGCGACGAACCTCGATCAAAGAGCTTTAACCAATGGTATTGTATACCCTATAAAAGCACTGAGACCCCTCATTGTAAAGGATCTGAATTTTAAGTGAATATACTCCTACTTTGCATTCTCTCTCTCTAAACTTCACATAATTTAATATATTCGGTGGTTTATAGCCATCAAATTGGTGCTTTCATTGAGGACAGAGAAACATACTCGTAGGTTAACTCCCGGAAGCGAGAATGGTGCAAACAAGGAGCAACATCCCCACCACCAGCCACGTCGTCGGTGAGGAGAACGGCCCGAGCAACGGAAATGGCACAGGAGGGATTACCTCGGCTCTTGACGCGGTCCAGGCATTGTTCGGTATGGGGGTGACCGCAGAGCAACTCCAGGCTGCCGTAGCGGCCCTCTCTGCCATCGGCGAGCGCGGGGGTGGACCCGGCACCGAAGCTACCCAGGCTCCGCACGGTCCCAATATCGAACACATTACCAGCACAAGGGGAAGAAGACCCGAAGGAGCAGGAGGATGCCTGGAAAGGCTCCCATGATTGAGGAGGTGCTGGTAGAGGACATTCCGGAAAGGGAGGACAACGAGTCCAGCGAGTGCCGAGTATCAACCTTGAAGCGCCTGGGGGGCGAGGAGACTCGTGTGTCGGCTTCCGACAGGCTCAACCGCGGACAAGAAGGCTGACAGATTTCTGAGGGCAAGCTGAGGCATGCCGAGGAGTCAGCAACCTCTGACGCACGCTCGGTGAGGCCCGAGCGCACCGATGGCCGACAGGACGAGCAGACTTAGCGTTGCCAGAGTCCCACGAGGACCGAGAAGACGAAGGTCTCCGATCAGGGTATGTCCCGTCTCGCGCGCGAGATTGCCGAGCTCAAGCGCCGAGTAGAGACGAGAACGCCCTACAGCCAACCCATCCCGCGGATCGTGACCCCGTTCACTCCGAGGGTTATGTCGGTTCCGCTGCCAGCAAACTTTCGGCCGTGGCAGATCAAGGCCTACAGCAGAACGACGAACCCCCAAGATCATCTGTCTAAGTTCTACGCCTCGATGGAGGCGGCGGTAGCCGAGACGAGGTCAAGTGCAGATGTTTCCTCGCGACGCTGGAGGGCTCCGTGTGCGATTGGTTCAACCAACTCCCGAAGGGGACCATTGATGATTGGGACATGCTAGCGGAGAAGTTTCTGACGCACTTTGCGGCCAACAGAAGGCAAAGGCTACCCTACTCCCACCTCCTCAACATCTGCATCCGCAAAGGAGAGAATGTCCGAGAAGAAAGGTAGAGACGTGCATGGGGCGGATGACCAGGCCCTGGTGGCAATGTTCCAAGCAGCCCTTCCTCAGGGAGAAGTGAGAAAGGAGCTTCGCAAGAATCCTCCCCCCACCACTACAAAAAAAGAGGGCAGTACCGACAGATTCTTAGTGACAGAAACTGTATTTGTCGCTAAAAAGAGAATATTACCGACAGATAAAATTATTTGAAGGAAAAAACTATTTGACCCACAGAAAGAGTAATATCTGTCGCTATTGGTTATAATTTTACCAACAAAATTTTATCTGTCGGTATTGCCTATAGTTTTAGCGACAAAACTTTATCTGTGAATATTGTTTATAGTATTAGCATCAAAAAAATTATCTGTCGGTATTGTTTATAGTATTAGCAACAAAAATTTATCTGTAGGTATTGTTTATAGTTTTAGCAACAATATTTTATCTGTCGTTATTGATTTTATTGACATTTAATTTAAGGAAAATGCTATGGGTACACCAAAAGTGTACCCCAAACATCCCCACCCCCTTGATCACCACACAAAAAATGCAAGAAAAATTCAAAAAAAAATTAAAATTAAAAATAAAATAAAATGAATGCTTAAGATGAGGGTGGTGTACATTTGGGGTACACCTTTAGTGTACCCTTAGCATATCCCTTAATTTAAATATCTTAATTATAAAAAAATCATAAAATTAATCATCATTTAGTACACGAAATTGAGGTCATGAAATTGGAAATGAAAAATCTCAATTTGAATTTTGTTGTTTGGTCGCTGAAAAATATATGACATTAAAAATGAATTATAAATTTAAAAGAGAAAAATCTAAAACTTAAAGATTAAAACTAATTTTTTACATTGAATATTTACAAATTAAAAATTATAATTTTAAATTTTAAATTTTTAAGGTATAAGTTAAAACTAAAGGACTAAACTGACCGAATAGAATCAAGACATATGATAAAAGAATAAATCAACAAATTAAAAATGAGAGGGATAAAATGCCAGTGGAGATATGTACACTTATTCATATTATTGATGTGGAATAATAAGGTATAGATTTTTAATCACGGTTAAAAGATGTTTCGGTCAACCGAAAATCGGAAACCATAAATCCGGGGATTAACCATGAAACCGGAAACCAAAAGCCGAAGTAACTGCCATACCAAATTTGCATAAAACTACTCACAAGTATGGCATTTATAGCTAAAAAATAGTAAACTAGTAGAAAAAAGATCCAAAAAAGACAAAACTGCAAAATTAACAGTCTAAAAAACAAGATTTTGGGGTAGACTGCTGAAATCGGACACTCATAGCCAAAGTTATGGCCCAAACAGTGTGACAACCCAAAATAATAAAAATGTAATTTTAATGGGCAAAACGCTAGAATTTGGGGTCCAAAATGAACTCTGATGGGTCATTGACCAATTGGACCACTGAGCGTCTTGCTCAGAGTTTTAGAAAAGGGGTAGCACGTCGTTATCGGTTACTCATAACCACGGTAGCTCAAAATGATTCAATTTTCTCTCGCTCTTGCAGTTATCATGCTTCAAAAATTTAATATTTAAATTTAAAAACTTAAAAACATAAACTAACCACTAATTTTTTTGAAGGAACTAAAAACTAAAGTTTAAAATTTCTAATAATAAAAACTATTTTTTATCAATTTAATTTTATGTCCAAAGTTGTAAGCCTATAACGTTTCGTCTTAGTATTTTAACTAATATAAATAAATAGTTAATTAATTACTAATCCAGACTAGAATGTGGCTATACTAAGTAATTGCACCCAAACTAATCCTAATTGAACCATAACTGTATTACGGAGTAATAAGGAGTTGCCTATAGCCCCATACGGTTATTTTTCTTTTCCGCCCCAATCACCGATTTTCCCTTCCGTTCTTTTCTGCCGAGCGATAAACCAGAGAGGAAGACTCTCTTTGATTCTTCCGTCGTCATTATTGCTGGACATCGCTGCCATCATAAGTCGCCGTCCTCTTCGTTCTTCCGTTCTCGCTCTTCGTGCAGCAACGCCGGCGGAATTTGTAACGGCGGTTCTTCGACCCTAATTTCAATTCCCTCGATTGTCAAGGTGAGTTATGTTCATATGTCTATCCTTAGCGTCAATTTGTAGATTAGAATCGTATTTGTATAGATCGTGCAATTCATTGTGGAATTGGGTCAATTAGATGTTCAATTGATTGGGGATTGTGTTGGATTGGATTTTCCGGCGAAACCCTTGCGGGTCGCGGATGGACTGGCGGCACCGCGGCAGTGGGTCGGTCGGTTTTGGAATACTACTGGGTAGTTTGAATTGAGCCCAAATTGGTCCAATTGGGTTTAATTAGGTTCAATCTGGTCCAATTGGGTCTGTTTAGGTGTAATTGAGTCTGCTTGGGTTACCTTGGTGCTGTATGGGATTCCAATTGGTTGCAATTGGGCTGATTTAGGTTTAATTGCATGTAAATGAGTTGATCTGGAATTAATTGGATGTTATTGGGTTGTAATTGGATATATTTGGATTGAATTGTGGTTGATGGGTGACTGTTGGGTGATCTTCGGCCCGATTTGGCGAGTGGGTCGGCAGCCTGGGTGGTAACAGGGCTGCCCAGTAGTGGACAGTCGCCCGGTGAGCCAGGGGTTGGGGTATGGGGCTGTTTGGTTGGTTGGTGGGTTGCCGGGCTGATCCAGTAGCTATTGTACTGTTCTTCGAGTTGAGGTGTTACAGAACAGGATCAGAGCATGAAGAAACCTAAGAGAGACTCTAGAATTTAGAAGATATACTGTCATTGCTTTTAAAGAACATGGTTAGTCTCTATTTATCATTGTTAGTATCATTGTCAATTTCCATATTTCATTTGATTATTTTTTAGTTTATTATATAGTTTAAAGTTATGCTATCTAGCATGAATGTAGGGTAAATTTAGTGTAATATTCGTATTTAGGTTATCATGTGCTTATAATTCTTTTTATTTTTTATAGGGTTCTAATGACTAATCAATCCAAATTCTATGACCTTACATTATCATGTGTTTATAATTTTTTTTATTTTGCAATAGGGTTCAACGGCTAATGAATCTGAAATTGATGACTTTACAATAGATGGTAATACAACCACCAAGAAAAGTCATGACGAGGATTGATGGAACAAAGATGATGAAGCTGAGAGCGATGAACTTGAAGATGTAGACAATGACGAACATTTAAGCTTTGTACTATATCTTCCATATCATATCAATACGCATTTTAATTTAGTTCACCTTGACTGTTTATACTTTAGCTTGAAACATACCCAAATGATGAACTAATTTTGAGATGTTGGTTTACTTTCTATTAAATGAGTTATTTGTAATTCTTTGAAATGTTATCGTATTATGTATTGTTGTTAATACAAGTATGAGTATTATTATTTTTTTATCAATGAAATTCTTTGATATCACTTAAATAGAGCATGCGAGTGTGAAACGTGGTATTAATAATAATTAAATAAATGTTAATATTGGTCAAAATAAACTACTCCGTAGTATCTAAAAAAATGTTTTACCCACACAATTTTTTGTGGGTAATCCAACTTTTAGTGACAGTTATAATGAATATTAATGTTGTTAAAAATAAGGCATTACCGACAGAAAAGAAGGATTTGCTTACACTATTTTTTGTCGGTAATTCATGTTTTAGCGACATATATATTTTGTCGGTACCCTTCTCTTTTTTAGCGACATCTTTGGTCTGTCGCTATTACACTATTTTAGCGACAGTAAATTTTATCTGTCGGTAATACTTTTACTGACGGAGTTTTTAGCGACAGCTTAGCGACAGACAATTATCTATCGTTAAAAGCGAATAGCGACAAATATTCAAACTTTAGCGACATATTGACCCCTGTCGGTATTGCCTCCTTTTTTTGTAGTGCACGTACCAGAAAACCTTGGCGCGCGCTAAGTTCTTGTCCTCAGAGGAGTTTGATGATGCTTCCGACTCTGAGGCCGGGCTGGCCAAGCGAGCTCCCGTGGACTCGGGAGAGGTCGCGAAGAAAAGAAAGAAGAAAAAGGACTACACCGCGGGCCCCAGGATGCAGTCGACTAGAGCATACTCCGTGGGGGCGCTCGTGGGGACGGGTCGAGAGCTGGCCCTCTCCCTGCTCCCTCACATGGAGACCTACGCGGTGTCCGGCGGTAGCAAGTATTGTGAATACTACCGCAACAACACACATAAGACCAAGGAATGCTTCACTCTTCAGAAGGAGATGCAACGACTAATCGCCCGAGGGCCGACTCCGCGAGATGAACTGGACGACAAAGCCCAAGGATACCTGGTGGGGTTCATCCACAAAGGAAGAACTTGGAGGAAGTCGACTGAGCCGGTTGCGATGACCTGGACGACAAAGCCCAAGGATACCTGGTGGGGTTCATCCACGGGGGGAATATCGGCGGAGACTCTGTCGCTCAAAAGAAGAAATGGAAACACAAGGCCTTCGTCGCCAAAGTCCACCAGGCACCGGTGCCCAAGCTCGGGAGAAGAGAGCAGATCCAATTCACGGAGAAAGACCTTCCCAACACGCCGAGCCCCCATCGAGATGCCCTGGTCGTGCAGGTAGAGATCAACGATGCCATAGTGCACTGCACCTTGGTGGAAACGGGAAGCTCGGTAAATATAATGTACGAGAAGACATTCCAAGACCTCGGCCTAAGTCGCAGAGACCTATGGCCGGTGCGCACTCCCCTATCCGGGTTCACGAGAGACTCCATCGAGGCCGAAGGAGTCATCACTGTGCAAGTGATAGTAGGGGATGGTGAGCACAAGGCCAAGCTGAAGATGGAGTTCATGGTTGTAAGCATCAACTGCGCGCACAACATGATCCTAGGACGGCCCGGCCTTGAGGACCTGGAGTGCGTGATCTCCCCGGGGATCGGGGTGGCTAGGGGAGATCGGAGGCTAGCCTGCTCGTGCTATGTCCGGATCACAAAGAAGCTATCTAGGGATGAGACGTTAGTCGTGCATGCTCAGGAGGAAATGAGGAAGCAGGAGATGCGGCCGAAGGCCGAGCCCGCCGAAGAGGTCGAAGAGGTGCAGCTCGACCCTCAGATACCCGAGCAGAAGGTGAAGATAGGGGGGAGCCTAACTGGAAACCTGCGGAAGCACTTGGTGGCTGTGCTCACCACGTTCGGCGCGATCTTCAAATGGGGACCCGAGGATTTGCCAGGAGTGGATCCCAAGGTTATATGCCATCGGTTGGCGGTCAACCCGGAGTCCAGGCCAGTGAGGCAGAAGAAGCGCTTCCTCTCGTCCGAGCGGAGGGAGTTTGTCGCCAAGGAAGTGGCTACCCTCTAGAGTATTGGGCACATAAGAGAAGAAAAGTACCTGGAGTGGGTGGCCAACGTGGTGTTGGCGCCGAAGCGAACCACTTGGAGAATGTGCGTGGATTATACCGACCTGAACAAGGCATGTCCCATGGACTCGTTTCCACTCCCAAACATCGATCAGCTAGTGAACGATATAGCGGGATGCGAGCTCATGACTTTCATGGATGCCTTCAGCAAGTACCATCAAATCAGGATGCACCCCGAGGACGAAGAGAAGCTCTTCGCCCCTGTCCTCGGAAGGAGCATGGAAGCATACGTGGACGACATGATTGTAAAGAGTAAGAAGGCGACCACCCACGCGAAGAACTTTGAGGGAGTTTTCAAGATCATGGAGAGGTTCAACCTTCGGTTGAATCCGAAGAAGTGCACATTTGGAGTTCAGGGCGGCAAGTTCTTGGGACACATGGTGAGCTGGGGTAGTATTGAGCCCAACCCCGAGAAGGTGCTCGCCATCCTTGACATGGAAGCTCCACGAAACGTCAAGGAGGTGCAGCGCCTTACCGGGAAGTTGGCGGTGCTCAGCCGCTTCCTCTCCAAGGTGGCAGACCGAGCCGCTCCGTTCTTCCAAGCCATGAAGAAGGCCCGGGGGTTCGTATGGACTCAGCAATCCTTCGAGTCTCTCAAGTCCTACCTCTTTTCTCCTCTGGTCCTCGCGAAACCCGAAGTCGGGGAAACCTTATTTCTATACTTGGGGGTGTCGCCTAAGGCACTAAGATCGTTCCTCGTGCAGGAAGAGGGTGGAGCCCAGCACCCGGTGTACTACACGGCGAAGACGTTGAGGGGGAGCTCAGTGCCCGAGAAGACGGTTTTGGTTGTGGTTTCAACCGTGCAGCGACTAACTCCATACTTCCAAGCTCCCCCGGTCCAGGTACTTTCCCAGCAACCCATAGGCGCGCTGCTGAGAAGCCCGAACGCGCCCTTTCGGATGTCTAAGTGGGCGGTGTTCCTTGGGTCCTTCCAAATTCAGTTCAAGCCAAGACCGGCGATCAAGGGGCAAGCGATGGCAGACTTCGTGGTGGAGTGCATCGCTCGGGAGGAGCCGAGCTCAGAACCACCCGAAGTTGATGTTTGGTGGACAATTTTTACCGACGGCTCCTCCGCCGCCAAAAACTCGGGGGTGGAGTGGTGGTCATCGCTCTCGAATGATTCATAGCGTATTACTCAATCTGATTCGGCTCCAAGGCGTCAAATAATGAGGCAGAGTACGAGGCGCTCTTGTGCGAACTACGCCTAGCAGTCGGGATGAACGCGACGAAGCTAAAGGTAAAGTGTGATTTGAAGTTGGTAGTTGGTCACATCTCTGCACAGCCACAAACTACACCCCCATCAACACAGCTATTCCGTTCCCGCAGTGGGGGGTAGACCTCGTAGGTGCTCTCCCTGGAGGTACTGGGAACGTGAGGTACGTCATAGTGGCAATCGACTACTTCACTAAATGGGTGGAGGCAACCCCATTGGCGAGCATAACGGGAGCCCAGTGCCAGAAGTTCCTCGCCAAGCAAGTCATCTGCCGCTTTGATATCCCCGAGCATGTGATCACGGACAATGGGACGCAATTTGAGTCCAAGCCCTTTAACAGCTTCCTTGAGAGTTGGAGGATCAAACAGAGCTATGCATCGGTCGGATACTCGCAGACGAATGGGCAGGTTGAGAACGCCAATCGGACGATCATAAATGGATTGAAGCGGAAGCTGGAAGCATGCGGAGGGGAGTGGGCGGAGGAGCTGCCCTACATCTTGTGGACCTACCAGACCACGCCCCGGAAGGCAACCAGGGAGACTCCTTTCGCTCTATGCTACGGTTTCGAGGTAAGGGCACCCGCAGAGATCTCCGTCGCAACTCATCGCGAGGAGATCTTCGATCCCGAGCGCAATGAAGAAGCTTTGGAGGCCGAGCTCCATCTCGTGCATGAAAGGCGTGAAGCGGCCTTCATACGAGCCGAGAACTACCAGAGAAAGGTGAAGGGTTATCATGATGGATGGGTCCGCACGCGCGGCTTTGTTGAAGGAGACTGGGTGCTGCGCAAGAGGACGGTGAGCCGCCTCCCCCTCGAAGGTGGGAAGTTTGCTAAAAATTACGAAGGCCCCTATATAATCAGAGAAGTGGTGGGACCTTCGACGTTCCGGCTGAAGACACCAGCGGAGGAGACACATAACATGGAACGCTGAGAACCTTGTTAAAATTTATCAGTGAATCTTTGTTGTACTCGGACCCGATGAGGGAACCCGTAAATCCTTTGGTTGAACTCAATGAAATGAATTTCTTCCAAAGTATGGCGTTAGTCGCTGGGAAAGTACCTGGACCGGGTGAGCTTGGAAGTATGGCATTAGTCGCTGCACGGTTGAAACCACAACTAAAACCATCTTCTCGGCCACTGAGTATCTGAGCTCGGCTCCCCTTAGCATCTTCGCCGTGTTGTACACCGGGTGCTGGGCTCCACCCTCTTCCCACACGAGGACCCAGCTCAGTGCCTTAGGCGACACCCCCCAAGTATAGAAATAAGGTTTCCCCGGCTTCGGGTTTCGCGAGGACCAGAGGAGAAAGGAGGTAGGACTTGCAAGACTCGAAGTATTGCCGTCCATACGAACCCCCGGGCCTTCTCGGGGTTAGGCTCAATACCGCGCCGGCTCACCATGTGTCCCAAGAACTTGCCGCCCTGAACTCCAAATGTTCACTTCTTCGGATTCAGCCGAAGGTTGAACCTCTCCATGATCTTGAAAACTCCCTCCAAGTCCTCCGCGTGGGTGGTCGCCTTCTTACTCTTTACAATCATGTCGTCGACGTATGCTTCCATGCTCCTTCCGAGGACTGGGGCAAAGAGCTTGCTCACCATTCTGGCATAGGTCGCCCGGGGGCGAAGAGCTTGCTCACCATTGAGACCAAAAGGCATCACCATGTAACAATACACCCCGCCGGGGGTGGTGAATGATGTCTTCTCTTCGTCCTCGGGGGGCATCCTGATCTGATGGTACCCGCTGAAGGCATCCATGAAACTCATGAGCTCGCATCTCATCGTCTCGTCCACTAGTTGATTGATGTTTGGAAGTGGGAACGGGTCCATGGGACATGCCTTGTTCAGGTCGGTATAATCCACGCACATTCTCCAAGTGGTTCTCTTCGGCACCAACACCACGTTGGCCATCCACTCCAGGTACTTTCCTTCTCTTATGTGCCCAATACTCTAGAGGGTAGCCACTTCCTTGGCGACAAACTCCCTCCGCTCGGACGAGAGGAAGCGCTTCTTCTGCCTCACCGGCCTGGACACGGGTTGACCGCCAACCGATGGCATATAACCTTAGGATCCACTCCTGGCATATCCCTGGGTTCCCATGCGAAGATCGCGCTGAAGGTGTTGAGCAAAGCCACCAAGTGCTTCTGCAGGTTTCCGGTCAGGCTCGCCCCTATCTTCACCTTCTGCTCGGGTATATGAGGGTCGAGCTGTACCTCTTCGACCTCTTCGGCGGGCTCAGCCTTCGGCCACATCTCCTGCTTCCTCATTTCCTCCTGAGCATGCACAACTAACGTCTCATTTCTAGGTAGCTTCTTCGTGTTCCGGACATAGCACGAGCGGGCTAGCCTTTGATCTCCCCTTGCCACCTCGATCCCCGAGGGGGTGGGGAACTTCATGCATAGGTAATACGGGGAGATCACGCACTCCAGGTCCTCAAGGCCGTGCTGTCCTAGGATCATGTTGTGCGCGCAGTTGATGCTTACAAACATGAACTCCATCTTCAACTTGGCCTTGTGCGCACCATCCCCTACTATCACGGGCACCGTGATGACTCCTTCGGCCTCGATGGAGTCTCCCGTGAACCCGGAGAGGGGAGTGCGCACCAGCCTTAGGTCCTTACGACTCAGGATGAGGTCTTGGAATGTCTTCTCGTACATTATATTTACTGAGCTTCTGTGTCCACCAAGGTGCGGTGCACCATGGCATCGTTGATCTCTACATGCACGACTAGGGCATCTCGATGGGGGCTCGGCGTGTTGGGAAGGTCTTTCTCCGAGATCTAGATCTGCTCTCTTCTCCCGAGCTTGGGCGCCAGCGCCTGGTGGACCTTGGCGACGAAGGCCATGTGTTTCCATTTCTTCCTCTGAGCGACACAGTCTCCGCCGATATCCCCCCGTGGATGAACCCCACCGGGTATCCTTGGGCTTCGTCATCGTCTAGGTCATCGCATTCCCGCCCGATGTGCCTCTTCTCGGGATTTCTTGCTTGTGTGGCCACCCCAACCGTCTAAGCCAGCTTCCTCCAAAATCTTCCTTCGGGCGCCCCCCGCGATGGGGCGTCATCTCGTGGAGCCGGCCCTCGGGCGATTAGTCGTTGCATCTCCTTCTGAAGAGTGAAGCATTCCTTGGTGTTATGTGTGTTGTTGCGGTGGTATTCACATTACTTGCTGCCGCCGGATACCGCGTAGGTATCCATATGAGGGAGCGGGGAGAGGGCCAGCTCTCGACCCGTCCCCACGGGCGCCCCTACGGAGTATACTCCGGCCGACGGCATCCCGGGGCCCGCGGTGTAGTCCTTTTTCTTCTTCCTTTTCTTTGCGTCCTCTCTCGAGTCCACGGAAGCTCGCTTGGCCGGTGCGACCTCGGAGTCGGGAGCATCATCGAACTTCTTCAACGCCAAGAACTTAGCGCGCGCCAAGGTTTCCTGGTACGTGGGGGGAGGATTCTTGCGAAGCTCCTTTCTCACTTCTCCCCGAGGAAGGGCTGCTTGGAACATTGCCACCAAGGCCTGGTCCTCTGCCCCATGCACGTATCTGGCTTCCTTCTCCCACCGAACTATAAAGTCTCAGACCTTCTCTCCTTTGCGGATGCAGATGTTGAGGAGGTGGGAGTAGGCTAGCCTTTGCCTTCTGTTGGCCGCAAAGTGCGTTAGAAACTTCTCCGCTAGCATGTCCCAATCATCAATGGTCCCCTTCGGGAGTCGGTTGAACCAATCGCACACGGAGCCCTCCAGCGTCGCGAGGAAACATCAGCACTTAACCTCGTCTAGGGTTGCCGCCGCCTCCATCGAGGCATAGAACAGATGATCTTGGGGGTCCGTCGTTCCGCTGTAGGCCTTGATCTGCTACGGCCAAAAGTTCGCTGGCAGCGGAACTGACATAACCCTCGGAGTGAACGGGGTCACGGTCCGCGGGATGGGTTGGCTGTAGGGCGTTCTCGTCTCTACTTGGCACTTGAGCTCGGCAATCTCGCGCGCGAGACGGGTTCGTCTTCTGGGTCCTCGTGGGACTTTGGCGACGCTGAGTCTGCTCGTCCCGTCGGCCATCGGTGCGCTCGGGCCTCGCCGAGCGTGCGTTAGAGGTTGCTGACTCCTCGGCATGCCTCCGCTTGCCCGCGATTGAGCGTGTCGAAAGTCGACACACGAGTCTCCTCGCCCCCCAGGCGCTTGAAGGCCGATACTCGGCACTCGCTGGACTCGTCGTCCTCCCCTTCCGGAATGTCCTCTGCCAGCAACTCCTCAATCATGGGAGCCTTTCCGGGCCTCCTCCTGCTCGTTCGAGTCTTCTTCCCCTTGTGCTGGCAACATGTTCGGCATTGGGACCGTGCGGAGCCTGGGTAGCTCCGGTGCCGGGTCCACTCTCACCGATGGCAGAGAGGGCTGCTACGGCAGTCTGGAGTTGCTCCACGGTCACCCCCATACCGAACAGTACGTGGACCGCGTCAAGAGCCGAGGTAATCCCTCCTGTGCCATTTCCGCTGCTCGGGCCATTCTCCTCGCCGACGACGTGGCTGGTGGTGGGGATGTTGCTCCTTGTTTGCACCATTCTCGCTTCCGGGAGTTAACCCACGAGTATGTTTCTCTGTCGTCAATGAAAGCACCAATTTGATGGCTATAAACCACCGAATATATTAAATTATGTGAAGTTTAGAGAGAGAGAATGCAAAGTAAGAGTATATTCACTCAAAATTCGGATCCTTTACAATGAGGCGTCTCAGCCCTTTTATAGGGTATACAATACCATTGGTCAAAGCCCTTTGATCGAGGTTCGTCGCTTAGCGGACATCACCTGTCCCTTCATCTTGTCCCTTTCATCCTATTGCCGGTCGCTATCTTTTTGTCGCTGTCATGCAGTCCGAGCCGAGCTCGTAGGCCGAGTGCGTGCAGACCCGGCCAAGCACAATGCTCTCCCAGGTGGGCGAGGGGCCAGCTGACATCAGCCCTAGGCCGATGGGTGGTTATCCTCCGTAAAAAACATATAGATAACTAGTAGCGTCAAATTTAAGAATCCCTGTTAAAGAAACTGGGATAGTAGAATCAAAAGAGATTGTACATGAGTTGAGAGAAATGGTATTAAGGTAAGCTAACTGAGTTGCAACCCTATTGACTTTGTGTGGGGTATAATTGAAACTCCAGGCTCTCGCATGGGATTGTCGATGAATATCACCAATCAAAAACTTATAAAAATTATGAGGGATACTGCTATGATGAAAAGATTTCATATATCTTTGATATTGGTCTCGAACACACATGAAGTTAGTCCAAAATGAATGCAGATGGTGATCATTTGGGGGATGAAGTGAAGACCGTCTGCTCCCCTCCTCCACCGACTAACACCAACGGCTAGAATATGGGGCTCACAGGGAGAGGGGGTAGGGCGTAGTCCCGGATTCAACGGAGGGCTATAAAACTCTCAAACCAACCTCATTCCTTCATGACACCAGTGTTATTTGAACCGTTCAACTGCATCATATTGTCTTTCAATAAGGATTCTTTGGGGATAAGCAATTCTTACGTAGCGTTTGGTTACAATTTCAGCATTTAGCTTTACCATTTTAATGTTTTCAAAAATCACATCTATCATTAAAAATGCCAACGCTGATTAAAAATGTTGTTCCCAAACAAGACCTTAGTTTTCTTTATGATTGATTAATGTGTTTTTTATCATTGCATATTAAATCCACTGGCATCCTTGTCTTTTTCAGGTTCGGATTGCTGAGCTCAAGGAGAAAATTTGAATCTCCAAATTGGACTTATTTCTCATACTCTATTTGTTTTGAATAAGGTAAAAAAATATGTATAGAAGAGTTTTTAGTAGCATGTGTTTCATCATCTCCAAATTTATGTGTAAAATCATCCCACTTCAATATATATCAATATACTACAAGATTATGTATAATACTCTTTTCGTATTGTAATTAATATTCTCATTTTGACTAGCATATTAGTATTACTTCTGTCTCAGTGTATTTATTCAATTTGATTTTTTGAGTCAATCTGAACAAATTTTGAGCTTCAATTACTATCAATTTGAATTGCATATTGGTATATTTAAATAACCTTTTGAAAATTTCTAACAAGATAAATGTAATAAAATCATTTTTATACTAACATACATTACGATTTTTTGTTTAATTGAAGCTCAAAATTCATACTGTTTAACTCAAAAAAATTAAACTAGACAAGTACACATACACGTGGATGGATGAAGCAGCAGAGAACACTTTTTGTCGTTGATTTTCACTGATGAATTTACTCATAAGACAATATTAATATACTTTTTTGAAAGAGATATTAACGTAAACATGAGAAGTTAATCGTTTGAGAGTCTTATGGTGTTCCATTGGATCCAAACAGGATGGTTTAAGGGTGCCTCAATGGGAGGTGCTCCACCCCCCTCTCTCCCCATGCACTCCCGTCCTCCACCCACTAACGCCAACGGGCTAGAATGTGGGGCTCACGCGGAGAGAGGGGGTAGGACGTAGTCCCGGATTCAACGGAGAGCTATAAAACTCTCAAACCAACCTGATTCCTTCGTGACACCAGTGTTATTTAAACCGTTCAAGTGCATCATATTGTCTTTCAATTAGAGATTCTTTGGGGGTAAGCAATTGTAGGCCATTAGTGTACCCCAAAAAAAAGGTCAAAACCCCATTTTCCCCACTACATAAGATCAAATTATGACTTTGGGTGATATGTTTTTGTTATCATCTACACCCCCCCCCCCCCTCTCTCTCTCTCTCTTAAACTAGCAGTTTCATGGATTGGAATGGGGCCCACAATTAAACAGGTCAAAGTCAAACATCTTGGTGAACCTTTCCCACAAGCCCAAGCCACTGCCACCACAACCCCCATGCTGAACCACCATCTTCCTGTTCATGACACCATCCCCATCACAATGCACTTGGAAGCAACACCCTTTGAGTCTCTTCTTCTTCGTCTTCGTCTTCTCGGCTCCGTCTCTGTGCTTCACGAGCTGCGCGTAATATTCCCGGTTCCGCCTCTCGAGCCCGTGGATCTGGCCCTGCAGATCCTCCAGCTTGCGGCTCAGCACGAAAACCCGGTGGTCCTCCCTCATCTTCAGCAGGCATCTCGCCAGCTCCGCCGCCTTCCTCTTCATGAAGGCCGACTCCGACGCCAACCCCTTGTTCTCCTCCACCAGCCCAGAGACTTGGTACCTGGTAAAACAATGATGAGCTAAAATAGAAAAAAAAAATACTAGAGAATAAAACAAGAGTAAATTTCATAAATAGTCTCTTATAACAAGTTTTTTTTTTCAAATTTAGTCTCCAGATCCTCAATTTTTGAAAAATGTCCCATAATAAGTCATTAAGGCCAAATATATTCTTCAAAGGACATATTATGAAATAGTTTTTTAAAATTGAAGATCATGAATGTAATATTTAAAAATTATGAACTAAATATGAAAAATTACGTGTTATAAGTGACAATTTATGGAACTAACTCATAAATTAATGCTAGGAAAAAACATAAAGTGCAACAAAGGGAGGAGATATGTAAATCAAAATCAAATCCCATAGCAATAATATGTTGTAAGAGTACCCGAGCCTGGCGTTCTCGTTCAGTAGAATCAACCTCTCTGATTCGAGCACGTCCACCAGGCTCCTCTGCAGCTCCATCTTCCTCGAGGACTCCACCCCGCGCCTCTCGGCCAGCTCGAGCTCGTGGAGTATGATGTCGGACTCCACCGCTCTCATCACAAACTCGGCGACCATCATGTGGGGGTCGCCCGCTTTCACCTGGGGCGGTTGGTAAGACAGGGAGCTCTCGGCGTCATCGGACGAATCGATGACGCCATTCTCCTCTTCCCTCCGTTCAAGATCCTCGTCTGCGAACGGCAGGGGAGAGGGATGGCGGGCCTTTGCCGCCAGCGAGTGGCAGTAACGGTCCGCCAAAGACAGGTAGCTGTTGTACAAGTCTTGGAGCAACGCCAGGAGCTGAGGGCGTTGCTGGTAGTACGAGTCCGCGCGTTTTGCGAAGCTGTCGTGCGCGCTGTCATCGTTCCCTTCTTCCAACAAGTTCAACCCCATCACCTTCATCCTCTCATCCAAATCTACCTCATGCCAAAGATTTAGAAAACAAGTTGGAGAATGTATACATTAAGAAAATAAAGTTGTACAAATCTAGCTTGATTTTAAAACAAATAAAAAATGTGAAACTATAAATAATTTGTTGCTAATACTCACATTCAAATTTTGCATTGGAGATAAGGGTGTAAACGAATATTAATCAGATTGGATGTGCCTTTACCAAATCCGTATCCGTTTATTTTTGTCGGATACCGAATTCAGGTAAGGATCTTGACGGATACTGAAAATCAAAACCGTATCCGCATCCGTCGGATATTGGTCGGATATCGGATATATCCGTAACCGTTTCCAATTTTTTAAACCAAATCAAACAATAATTTAGTTTTCAATTAAACTAAATCAAAATATTATTAAATCAACTATAATTTTTTATGGGATAATTATTTTTTTATTTTTTATAATTTATGATATTTTACGATGATTTCATATCATAAAAAGATATACCCAATAGATATATACACATATTTTTATATGATTGCACATATTTTTATGTGTCTACACATATATTTTGCATATAAAAATATCTTCTACTTTGAAATATCAATAGAGAAACAAAATATAAAAATAAAAATATTAGGAAAAACTATATATAACGGATCGGATACACGGATAAACGGTTATTTAAACGGATGTCAATGCGGAGTGGATTATAAACCGATTGGATGTGTGATTACCAAATCTGTATCCGTTTAGCAATCGAATATCATTAATCGGATACGGATAATGACCGCTTTTAACGGATGTGGATATTTTTCATATGAACGGATACAGATGCGGTCGGTAATCGAATTTTTAGTTATCCATTTACAGCCTAACGGGAGAAAATGATTGGCACAAGACGAAAAAGTGATTTGGCCATGTGAAATTATTGGCACCTTTTTTTTTGGGACCCCAAAGAGACTCATTGGATAATTGAGTGTGAATCTTTGGACTTTGGGGTGCATTCATATTATAACCCCAAATTTCGAAAGTAACCTACCAAAAAGTGCCATAAACAAGACAAAAAAATGTGGCCCGCGGCCAAAGGAATAAAGTTCCCTTTTTTTAAAGCTGAGAACATATATGTGGATCTATCTCTCTATTGTGATCATAGTCTACCATAAAAAAAGGGCTAAGCTTTATGAAATTGTATATTCTAAAACCCCTTCATTTGTTTTGGGAGATTTATTTTCGCTCCCTTTTTTGTGAAGTTTGAATTTGTAACCTCTAAGTCAATAATGTTCTAATATTTATAAAATGATAATTAAATCCTACCAAAAAAAGTATTTCACACAAAAAAACAAAAAAAAAAAAAACTATTCTCTTGAGTCTCACAAAATATTTCTAGTTTTCCTTACATAATTTTCTTCTTTTTTCTCACTCTAAAGTAATACTTATGTGATTTAAGATACCTTTCAGCTTTTGAGAAAAAGGCCCAAATAAGACTAAAAGATGAAATATTTGTACTAAAAGATAGAAAAGAGAACATAATAAGTCCATCATGTTTTTATTCAACAAAATATGACTAATAATGCCAATAATACTAACATATACTACCAAAAAGCATCATCGATGTCACAGTGCAATAGTCTCATTCTTGGAAAAAAACATGTCACACTTATATTAAGGAGAACTAATTAACCTACTTTTTCTCTTTAATCTGTCTAAAAATATTTATCTCACTTTTTTTTACTTAACTCTCTCTCTCTCTATCCCACAAAACATTTCTCTTTTCTTTTTTCATTCGTCCCAAAAATTCTTCTCGTTTCTATTAAAAAGTTACTTTTTACCCTTACTAATTCTTAACCTACCTATCGCATCGCACTTTTTCACTACTAATCTACCAATCGCATCTACTTTTACCTATTGCATCCAAGGGTATTTTTTGGAAAGTCAATACTTAAAATGCATTCCTCTTAAATCCCTTTGAAACCAAAACAAGAAATGTTATGTGGGACTGAGAGTATTAAAATTAAAAACATTTAACCCACAATATTTTCTTACTTGTAAACGAAATTCAACCACCACATTTTAGTTTTTATTTTTCACTTTTTTTTTCCTACATTTGAATTAAAAACATCAAACCAACCACAATTTTGAGGGGGGAAAGAGAACAATTCGGGTGCAATGTATTATTGTCCCGACTCCCGAGGACAGTAATTAACATGTTGTCGTGCCACAGTAAAAAAAAAAAGAAAAAAAAAAGATGAAGAAAAGGAAGAATCGTTTTCAGCAGCTGTACTGTGTGCTGTTTGGGGAAGGTAATTTTGGAGTTTTCTTCTTTTCTTCTTCTGCTATGTGAGTTGAAATTTTTGAAAAAAGGTGAAACAGAAATTTCACTCTTTGGAGTTAAAGAAAAAGGTTTTTAAAAAAAAAAAAACTCACTCAAACTGTTTTACTGTGTCCCACAGGTATTTTTACCGTGTCCCTTATTGACAGTAATTTACTGTGTTATGTAGAGTGTGGAAGGGAAGAAAGCGACCGCTCCCTAACCCTCATACACTTTCTTCCCCATCCATATCTCTGATATCCTCCGTACCATCATTAAAATATGGGAAAATCTAAGGGCACGTTTGGTACACGAAATTGATAGAATTAGAATTCTATGGAAATGATTTGAATGGAATTTGTTGAGGGTCATCCTACATCGGTAGTTCAAGAACAAAATAATCAGTATATAAACTCTTGAGTTGAACTAATTAATTGATTGGATTCAATCTTTTAATGTGATTCAATTCAAGTGTCTTATTACCCAATTCAGTTGTCCATACTCGTCCTAAAATTCCATCGGAAATGAATTCTCGGATTCTAATTTATTTTTGACATTACCAATTTCAAACTCACATACTTTTGTGCTACGAAATAGTAGAATTAAAACTGTTGTTTCATATTTTAGTTCAATGGTCTGAATTTCGTGTATCAAATTAGCCTAAGATACCATTAACTTTTGAAATCATTTAAAAATTTGTACACACACAATGAATAATCATTTTTTAATTGTATGTTCATAGGTAACCGTCTAGACAGATTTGAGGGGACCCTCGAGACAAGACTCATCTTTTTTTTTATTAACCCTTCATGACCAATTGTATTTTGTTATCTATATTGTGAAAGTTAGTGTTATTAAAGAAAAATGTTAGGGGTACACCTTAGGTGTAAGGTGTACCCCATTTGTTCGCCACCCCCTCCTCCACTACATAAATAGACAAATACTTTTAAAAAAATTAAATAAATAAAAATTAAATAAGAATGGGTGGTGGAGAAAGGGGTGGGGGACAAATAGAATACACCTTTTTTGGTATACCCCTAACATTGCTCGTTATTAAAACATGTCTCACAAAAAAAAATCATAAATAATTTGGGTATTGCTAAATCAACACCTCTTTTTTGTTAAATTCTCACTTTTTAACATTTCTATCCTTAACCGTGTAAAAATAAATTTTAAAAGACAACATGTAAACTAACATAAGGGTAATATTGGACATATGTCATAAATAAGATGGATTTAGCCAAATGAAAATAATAAAGAAAACTAATTGGCGTGAAATTGAAAACTTTTTTCATAAAAATGAATGAAAATAAAAGGAAAAGGATAATATTAAACATTTGAATAATTCCAATAATTGGGATTTCTTTATGAAATGTAAAAACAAGACAAATTTTAAAAAAATGTAAAATTTAAATACCTGCAATAGAGCAGAGAAGCCAAGAGGGTTTTCCAAAGCTACCCCTTCTTGTTGAATGATATGAAGAAGAGGAAAAACAAGTCTCCACAATAATTTGCCCTTCTTCTTCTTCTTCCTCATTTTCTTGTTCTTCAATTTCTGTGTCCATTAATTCCTAGCAGAGACCAAACAGGACCTACCCAATTCAATTCCCAAACACACAAAACACAAACATTCTACTACACATTAAATAAGTACCATATATAAATAATAATCCCAAGAAAGAAAAAAAAAGAATCTTTTGTTTTTCTTGATAGAGAAATGCTTGATTTTTCAGAAGAAATGCAATAATCAGAGGATTTTTTTCTTCTCACCTGGTTCTTTTAACTTCTGGGGATGGAGAAGAAGAAGGGTTAAATCGGAAAAATGGTGTTTGTGAGTTTCTTTGTGGGAAGAGAGAGAAAGGGGCAGAAAAGAGAAAAAACTTTTACCTACATATATGCATACTTTGCATAGTAAGAACTGAGACCGAGTAAGAGAAAAGGCTGTTCTTGCTACTATATACGGAGTATGTAGGGGGAAGGGGTCAAAGACTAGATTTACTCAATCCTGTTTCACAAGGACCATGCTACACTTAAACCAAAATTTGTATTTCAAACTTGCACCAAAGGTATACATTAATATTTTAATGGTTCAGACTGATACAAAGTATTGGTACGTTAACAAAGATTTACACTGACACAAAGTGTTGGTGTGTTAACAAAAATTGACATTACACGAACACAAAATATTGGTGCACATCTGCGGTGTACAAATGGGATACAAACCCTTGGAATACAAATAGTTTTATTGTTCTGTTTTGAATAATGGGATTTAATTGGGTTTATTTTTAATTCAATTTATTTTATTTATTATTTATTTCAAAATAGAATTGTATATTAAAAAACTATATCAAATAATTTGAAGCATAAAATGAAAAGTAACATTATTACATTATTTTAACATTGGCAAGATTTTGTTGACGCTGTTATTCCGTATCAACGGATGACACTCACTCATTTCGAACTCCTTCGATGCTCCGCTCGCAAAATTAATGGTTCCTACCCCCTGGCCCTCCTTAAATCCCCACCGCCCCGACCCCTACACCCCAACCCTTGATCCCCTCTTACCCCTCCAAATGTGTGGCTATTGTGCATTGTAAAATAGCCATACATTTAGATAGGGTAAGAAGGGGGTCAAGGGTTGGGATCAGATCTGGCTGGGGTGGGGTGAGGAGGTTTAGGAAAGAGGTTATGGGGTATGAACCATAAATTTTTTATTTCGAACATTCGACGAGCTCCAAATGACCGAGTATTATCCCTTGACACTAGATGCTAATATTAGTAGAACCTAGCTGTTTTAACACATACTCTTTCCGTCCCTAAATTGATGTCACTATCGTCACTGCACTTGCTCGATAACTTTTGTTTGTTGTGCAATTTCATTGATCATTTGATAGAATCAAATATTGTTCTCACTTGTTGTTTCATATAAATTTTGATATATTTTTTAATAGTACAATTCTATATTAATTTATAACTAAAATAATTTTAAAATTAATAGATTTTACATGTTATTTAGAGTGTCTTGTGGGACGAATCTTCTAAATGACAAAAATAAGTATATAAAGAAAAGCAGTTTGACTATTGACTAGTTGAACATGATTATTTTGGATGGGAGGGGTAAAGCTAGATGCTTCAGTATGAACACTGACGTGTTCATTATTGTTGCCTTGTCCGTGGGCAGATTCTTGACTCATTCTACAATAACAGAAATTCCTTTATTAGGATTCTTTTATTCAGTAGTTGAGTTTAAGACAGGAATTGCAAAGGATTACAACAGTTGATACAATCAATGGATTTGAAACCAACAATAAGATAATTTTCTAAGCGTTTGCGTTCGATTGGTTGGATCGTGACGAATCTACAGA